CCGTGTTCAAGCATTTGGGTCTATCATTTAACAAAAAAACGCATATCAATCGTCAGCAGGGAGTGCGGCAGCTCGAGTGCGCTGACGTAGACATTTCTCAGACTCGTCGGCATGGACGATGGGGAATGGATACATGCGAGGCCATATATGCGGCCCCACTAGCTCGAGAAGCAATGCGTGCTCTTTCTGGACACCCTCCTAAATCTCGTTTTTACTTCCTCGAACGTGCCTCAGTCGATCCACCGTTAGAGCTTCAGCGGCTAGTATTTCCTGAAGTCGAACATTGCCAAAAGCAGATCTTAGATGGAAATTGGGAAGACAATCTGGCTGCTCGTGGATTTCTTGACTTGCTTCTGTACCTTCGCGTTGTTCTGCTTCAAGACTGTGCTGTGTTGCTCGACGACCTTCCTGCCCAGTTTCGACAAACTTCGCTTTTTGGCGAAAAATTTCAACTGTTTCGTACGCAAGCGCTGGCTGGAGCGGCAAGCGCTACAGCTCCTATTCAAATGCAACTCCAAAATGCAATGCCATTGCTTTCAACATAAATATCTACACAACATGCAGCAGTGATGCAAAAATTAGAGACTCGCCATAACGAGATTACGCAACTTTTAGCACAAACAATCAATAACCTCACCTCATTATTACAAGGAGACATGGCATTCCGTCTTGTACCTATTGATAACGCAAGCGCGAGTGTCACTAGCACCAACATAAATCTTGATACAGCTGAGTCTGCTCACAGCCAACAGTCAGTTCCATACCGTTCTTCCAGTGGAGTTACTCACGAACCTACCATTAGTGACGCACAGCGGTATTCTATGAGCAGAGGTGTCAGCACTGTACGCGAGCTCTGGACTGAATGGCACGTCGGTCTGTCTAATCGGCCATCAATTGAGTCGCTAGAGAAAAAATACGGGCGAAAATGGCGGCTATCATCAAAAGAATCCAAGTTTTACTCTCGCAGACACTGTGTGATCAAGTACGTACGCTTCTTAATAAACCAAGGCTCCACAGTTGAGAGTGCGCTCAATATTGCCGAAGCTGAGAAGGGAACAAGAAGCATTGATGCGTTCTCCCCAAGCACTTAAGCAAAAGAAAAATATCGTGAATATTAGTCTGCATAATAACAATCATTTTCAAAGCACAGTCAAAACATGTTCCCGTACTAAGTTTGCGCTCAACCATTATCGGCTCGCTGTTCTTTGTGGAAGAACTTGCTTCTTACTAGCGTCGTACAACAATAAGCTCCATACATCTGCAGTACAAAAAGAAAAACAATCGTCATTAATGTATGTCACTGTGTGTCAATACGTGTAACGTTTCGTATTGCACGAAGTTACCATTTCAAACCTGAGTCAGCGGCCTTCGTGTCGGAGCAAAATGATGGAGTATGAGGATCTGAAGTGCCTTCACATCCGTTAGCAATTCTGATACCGGGAACCTGAGAACTGTAGACGCTTCTGCGTGGCTCAAACCGAGCGTGCGGCTGCAATGCGGCCGCTAATGCTTGGCTTCGGTGCTCTTGAAGTTAAGGCAGCTCCTCATCGGCTCATACACTGGTATTGAGACCTTTGCGCTAATTGGGGCTTCTTCGTGGTTGTATCTCGCGGCTGCTTCGGCGTCAAGTGACGCACTGGCTCAGTGGCTGGAGTTTTGTTCTGTCCGAAGTGCTTGGGAGAGAATCGTACTTTGAGCCAATAAAAATGCTCTATTAAGGTCATGACCTTTCTCTGATATCTTCAAGATATCAGCCGAAAACGGCTGGTATCTGGAGATATCAAGGTCCAAGGTCCTGATTAGGTCCTGATTTTATCGTTTTTACTTATAAGTGTCACTTTCTTTACGTAGATTCACTCCACATTAAATGTAAAAAATTACACCGCTGCATCCCATAACTATTGCTGTTAAAACGTGACGCGACTGACCTTCTGTTTGGTAATACAGTGGGGACGTCCTTGATGATGATACGATAATGCGTTCACTGAGAGTGACAGCACGTAGCACGTGTGTAGCCCACTTCATAAAGGCCTGCTGAAATACCTCCGAAGTGACGACTACGCGTACAGGATCAACTCTGTTGAGACCAAGCAACCAACACTACTCAGACATCGGGAAAATCTTCTTTCAGGTTCGCTAAATGCTATCAGATGTGCAGAATTGAGGAACAGTTATAGCATTTGACAGGTATCAGCTATACCGTATACATTTACTAACCGCCATGTCGGTGGATTGCATTGATATCAGATATAGGAATATATCGGGTTTATCAGGTATCGGTTAGAACATTTCAATCTGTAGCTCAAAATTTGTCAAACAAAGACAAATACAAAATATGATGCACAGACAAATTCTTGCTTCAACGTAAATAATAGCTTTCTCGACATTAATTTGCCCATATTACCAATTATTGCTTAAACGTCAATCTAAAGTGTAGTATATTTTAGATCTCTTTAAG